AAATACACCTCTATCTATCATATATGGACAATTAGGCCTGGTCTACACTATGACTTTAATTCGGATTTAGCAGCGTTAAATCGAATTAACCCTGCACCCGTCCACACAACGGAGCCATTTATTTCGAAGTAAAGGGCTCTTAAAATCGATTTCTGTACTCCACCCCGACGAGCGGAGTAGCGCCAAAATCGATTTTGTCATTTCGAATTAGGGTTAGTGTGGCCGCAATTCGATGGTATTGGCCTCCGGGAGCTGTCCCAGAGTGCACCATTGTGACCACTCTGGACAGCAATCTGAAGTTGCATGCACTGGCCAGGTAGACAGGAAAAGCCCCAGGAAAATTTGAATTTCATTTCCTGTTTGCCCAGCGTGGAGAGCACAGGTGACCACAGATAGCTCAGCTCATCAGCACAGGTAACCATGCAGGCTGATAATCGAAAAAGAGCACCAGCATGGACCGTACGGGAGGTACTGGATCTGATCGCTATGTGGGGAGAGGATTCAGTGCTAGCAGAACTTCGTTCGAAAAGATGAAATGCCAAAACTTTTGAAAAAATCTCTAAGGGTATGATGGAGAGAGGCCACAATAGGGACTCAGATCAGTGCCACGTGAAAGTCAAGGAGCTCAGACAAGCCTATCAAAAAACAAAGGAGGCAAACGGTCGCTCCGGGTCAGAGCCGCGGACATGCCGCTTCTACGCCGAGCTGCATGCAATTCTAGGGGGGGCCGCCACCACTACCCCACCTGTGACCGTGGATTCCGGGTCGGGGATAGTCTCATCAGCTACACCTGAGGATTTTGCAGATGGGGAAGAGGTGGAGGAGGACGAGCTTGCAGAGAGCACCCAGCACTCCGTTCTCCCCAACAGCCAGGATCTTTTCCTCAGCCTGACTGAAGTACCCTCCCAAGCCTCCCAAGCCAGTACCCAAGACCATGACCCCATGGAAGGGACCTCAGGTGAGTTTACGTTTTAAAATATAAAACTTGTTTTAAAAGCAAGCATTTTTTAATGATTACTTTGCCCTGAGGACTTGGGATGCATTCGCGGCCAGTACAGCTACTGGAAAAGTCTGTTAACGTGTCTGGGGATGGAACGGAAATCCTCCAGGGACATCTCCATGAAGCTCTCCTGGAGGTACTCCAAAAGCCTTTCCACAAGGTTTCTGGGCAGTGCAGCCTTATTCCGTCCTCCATGGTAGGACACTTGACCGTGCCATGCTTGCAGCAAGTAATCTGGTATCATTGCATGACAAAGCCTGGCAGCGTATGGTCCCGGTGTTTGCTGGCATTCAAGCAACATCCGTTCTTTATCTCGCTGTGTAATCCTCAAGAGAGTGATATCTTTCATGGTAACCTGGTTGAAATACGGGAATTTAATTAAGGGGACAGAGGTGGCCGTTCTTACTGGGCTGTTTGCCTGTGGCTGAAAAGAAATCCTTCCCTGCAGTTAGCCAAGTGCAGGAGGGGAGGGAATTGGCCCAGAGCTTTTCGCGTTTGGCTAGCAGGGATCTTCCCTGATACCAGCCACGCGGTGGGGGGAGGGGTAAAGCGATCATCCAGAGAATTGGATGGGGGCGTTAGTTTGTTTTCTGCTGCTGAAGGTTAACAGGAAAACCGCAGCAGTCAACGGGCTTTGCTTGGTATGTGGGAAAGGAGGGCGCAGAAGCCGAAAGACAATGGCTTACCATGGCCGCATGCAAGCCGAATTCTGTTGCCCGGACCTGCATCTGTGACCTCTAGCAGCAAAGCCACAGGCACTCAATATTAAGAGGCAAAATGCGACCTTGCACAGAAATCAGATGTGTTATGTAATGTGAATATGTCACTGTGAAAGAGTATAAGCATTGTTCTGCAAAATGTATCTTTTTAAAAAATTCTCTCCTTTTTTCCCTCCCTCCAGCAGCTGCAAATTCTTCAAGCCTCCCTCCTCCGTCCCGAAGGCTATCTCAGATAAGGCGTCGGAAAAAGAAGACGCGAGACGAGATGTTCGCAGAAATCATGGAATCCACCCGCAGTGAAAGAGCTCATCTGAATGAGTGGAAGGACACGGTTTCAAAGTATAGGAAAGAAGCCAGTGAACGTGAGGACAGGAGGGACCAACGTGAGGACATGAGGGACCAATGTGAGGACAGGAGGGACCAACGTGAGGAGAGGAGAGATGCTCGAGATGAGAGGTGGCGGCAGGAAGATCAGAGGAGGCAGGATGCAATGCTGGGGCTGCTGCGTGAGCAAACAGACATGCTCCGGCATCTGGTGGAGCTTCAGGAACGGCAGCAGGATAACAGAGTGCCGCTATAGCCCCTGTATAACGCCCCTCCCCCCTCACCATGTTCCATAGCCTCCTCACCCAGACGTGTGAGAACACGGGGGGGGGGGGCCTCCGTACACCCTCCCATTCCACCCCAGTGGACAGCCCAAGCAAAAGGCTGTCATTTTTTAAACCTTTTTTTAGTGGCCTTTTCCTTCCCGCCGATCCTCCTCCCAAACCCCACCCGGGTTCTCTCCCTCTTTTTATAATCTATGATAAAGAATAAATGATTTTTAAACAATAGTGACTTTATCTCCTTTGAAAGTAAGCTGGGGGAAGGGGGAGGGTGGTTTCCTTACAGAGAATGAGTCAATAAAGGGGACGGGTTTTCATGAAGGAGAAACAAACAGAAATTTCACACTGTAGCCTGGCCAGTCATGAAACTGGTTTTCAAAGCTTCTCTGATGCACAGCGCTTTCTTCTAATCGCCCTGGTGTCTGGCTGCGCGTAATCAGCAGCCAGGCGATTTGCCTCAGCCTCCCACCCCACCATAAAGGTCTCCCCCTTACTTTCACAGAGATTGTGGAGCACACAGCAAGCAGAAATAACAATGGGGAGATTGGTTTGGCTGAGGTCTGAGCGAGTCAGTAACGATCGCCAGTGACCTTTTAAACGGCCAAATGCACATTCTACCACCATTCTGCACTTGCTCAGCCTGTAGTTGAACAGCTCCTGACTCCTGTCCAGGCTGCCTGTGTATAGCTTCATGAGCCATGGCATTAAGGGGTAGGCTGGGTCCCCAAGAATAACTATTGGCATTTCAACATCCCCAACGGTTATTTTCTGGTCCGGGAAGTAAGTCCCTTGCTGCAGCCGTTTAAACAGAGTAGTGTTCCTGAAGACGCGAGCATGTTCATGACTGCTGTCTTGAGCTGAGCGGGCTCCATGCTTGCCGTAGTATGGAGTCTGCAGTGTTCACCCAGGAAAAAAAAGTGCGAAATGGTTGTCTGCCATTGCTTTCATGGAGGGAAGGGTGAGGCTGTACCCAGAACCACCTGCGACAATGCTTTTTGCCCCATCAGGCACTGGGATCTCAACCCAGAATTCCAATGAGCGGGGGAAACTGCGGGAACTATGGGATAGCTATGGGATAGCTACCCAAAGTGCAACGCTCCGGAAATCGACGCTAGCCCCGGTACATGGACGCACACCGCCGAATTAATGTGCTTAGTGTGGCCGCATACATTCGACTTTATACAATCTGTTTCCAAAATTTGAATTATATAAATTCGGATTAATCCCGTAGTGTAGACATACCCTCTCACACACTCACAAATGCCTGCCTTTGCAGCAGGAGCATTCCACAGTAATGGTTTGCTTTGTGTCCTGAAGCAGATAAGCATGTGGGCTGTCAGAAACAGAGCTTTGAAAGGGGATATCCACATGCCTGCAGCCCAGTTCAAAACAATGACCAGGGTGGTCACTTGACTTCAAGGGATTATGGGATGTTTCTGAAGGCCAGTCACAGCGCAGTAATGCAACTCGTAGTCCACACTGACACCACAGTGCTTCAGCCTGGGTGCAGAAAGCTCTATGCCTCTCGTGGAGGTGGATTGCCTGGAGCGCTCCAGCCACAGGGTCCAGGCACTCTAAGTGCCTTGCCAGTGTGGACACCTCAGGAGTCCTCGGGGGCTGAATTAATGCACTCTAACTTGCAAGTGTAGCAAGGCCCTCGCTTCATTTTCCTTCTCTGACACACACTCTCTCTGTGTCCCTGAGCAAGTCACTTAGTCTGGCTGGGTCTCAGTTCACCCTCTGTCTAATGGGAATAACAGCATCCCCCGCCACACAGGAATGTGGTCAGAAGAAATACATTGATAAGATGCATCCGAAGAAGTGGGCAGTAGCCCACGAAAGCTTATGCTCTAATAAATGTGTTAGTCTCTAAGGTGCCACAAGTACTCCTGTTCTTTTTGCGGATACAGACTAACACGGCTGCTACTCTGAAACCATTGATAAGATTGTGAGGCTCAGATACTGTGGTGATGGGAGCCATAAAATTGCTGAAGATTGAAAAATACATGATCATAAGATTTCCAGGCCTCAGTTCCCAAAATCGACTAACCAATCTTCTAGAAGTGTTGTGGGGGTATGTTACAGATTATAAGATGCTCAGATAGGATGGTAGTGGATCCCATTAACAGACATCGATAGATAGGGATAGAGGAAAAAACAGTAGCTGGGAAGTCAATAAATTTCCCCAGCTGGAAAGGGAATAGACACTCCAGATGAGAGAGAGAGAGAGAGAGAGGCTGGAGTGAATGAGTCTTGCTTTGGGGGGTGGTACTGGTGCAATTTATCCTTTCTGGGTGTGTTGGAGGGAATGACACGGGGTTTGGTGTGTGGATGAATGTGGCTGGCGACGGGGAGACCATGGCAGAGAGCTTTTAAATGTATTTAGTGTTACTAAATCCCCGTGCACTTTGACTGTGTAAGGCCAAACTCTTTCCTGCAGGGATACAAGATCATGGTGTGTTTGTTTCACAGGCTGGTCTTATTTACTTTTAGTGTAAGGATGGGTTGAGGACGTCTAGAGGCAGAATTTACATGGCCCAGACTGGACAGTCAGTAGTTAATTCGGTTCATCACCGGTGCGCAGACACGTTTTCACGGAGCGATCACTCTTCACTGGTTTCTTCCTCTGTCCTCATGAATTTTCACCCTGTGCAAGTGAAAACAGAGGCTGTCCCTTTAGTGCCATCTAGCGGAAAGATCTCCTGCTTTTCTAGACAGATAAATAAAAGCGTTGTAGATGTCTGGGCAGGCTTCTCTTCCCCCTTTTTTTCGGTCCCTGGCGCAGTAATAGGTGGTGGTGTCTGCAGCTGTCAGCAAGCGGAGCTGCAGGGAGAACTGGCTCTTGGAGGAGTCAATGGAGATGGTGATTTGGCTCTGGAAGGATGAGCCGTAATTCGTGTTCCAGGTGGAACTGCTGTAATATCCCCGTCCCAGCCACTCCAGCCCTGTCCCGGGAGGTTGCCGGACCCAGCTCCAATAGTAACCACTGGTGATGGAGTGACTCGAGACCGCGCAGGTCAGTGTGAAGGTGTCTCCGGGCTTCACCGCTCCCTGGCCAGATTGTACCAGCTGCACCTGAGGACACCTTGGGGGAAGGAGAAAGCAGAGCTGACTCGCTTGGAACCGGTGCATTCCCCACCTCGGTGTTCCTGGGGGTCCCGTGAAACACTCACCTGATGGGGCAGCGAGTAGGAAAAGGGAGCAGAGCAGTGACAGTGTCATGGTGATGGTTAATGGAGACACTCTCCAGGGGGCAGGACCTGTCAGTTCTGTGTCTGGGGAGAGACTGTGGCTCCTAGTACCAGGGGTTGGTATTTAACAGGAACCCCCCCGGGGCAGGGATTTGCATGCGGGTTCCCAGGGTGGGTAGAAGACAGGGTGAGCGCTCAGTACCTGGCCGCGTCCCCTTTACATCCCAGTGAGGCAGTTCTTTCAGCTGAGCACACATGTAACGAGAGGAGGTGGCTGTGAGAGGGGGGGTTGGAGGGTCAAAGAACAGGGCACTGGTGTAAGCAGAGTCAGGATGAACTCTACCCTGACATCTGGTGGTGAATTATGGCGAGTGTGGAAAAGAA